CCGGCCTGGACCAGTCGCGCAAGCGCCCGGCGCCGCAGCAGATCCAGCAGGTGCAGCAGCAGGCCGTGCAGAACCGCAACCACAAGTAAGGGCCCCGCGGCCACCCGGAGCCGTGTCCGCGAGCGGGAGCCGCGCTCGCCTGCCTAGGCTGTGGTCTCAGGGGTGGGGGTGGGGTCGCTGGGAGGCGGAGGGCCGGCCGCGCTTCGAGTTTGGCAAGCTGTCGCTGCCCCGTCCCTGGTTGCCACCTTAGGACCAGAAGTTCTCACCCCTGAGCTTTGCCACCAGGAGCCCCTGGCAGCCCTGAGGACTGGGGCGATGCCTGCGGTCCTCCCCTTTCTCCTCATCTGTGTTCCTCGGGGCGCGGGGAGGCAGGAGCAGCTCGAGGGCAGAAGCCCCTTCCCATTGGGGCTCGGGGTGGGTGGGACTTGCTGCTGCGGCTGTGCCGTTCTGCCGGTGGCTCCCCCTGGGTCCTACTGCCCCTGGTTCCTGTCATCTTTGACAGGCAGCCAGGAGCAGATTCATATTCATTTTCTACATTTTTTTTTTTTTAGGGGACCTGCGGGCCGTATTTTGCCCGCCCCCGAACTAGGTAGAAATAACGGTACGCAGATGGTGCAGCATGGGCAGCTCTGGGTTGGTTGGGCTTTTTTCTTTTTTAACTTCATAGCAGTCGTTGTGCCTTGGTGAGCGGTGGCAGCCCAACGTTATCCGTCGGTTAAAAAAAGGATTGACTGCAGAATCTATAAATCGATGTTAAATCAAGAGTGTGGAGTCGCTTTGTACCAAAGTAAAATACTGCCCCCAGCTCAGTGCAGCCCTGGTTCTCCTGGGAGACCGGAGATGTTCAGAGACCCGGGGGGGTCTCAGTGCTGCAGAGCTTGCTCTGCTGGAGCCGAGTGCCAGCCCCACTGTGGCTAGGCGCCGTATGCATGGGCTGACAGTATAACAGCTGCACTGGAGAGGCCAGGGCCAAGGATGACCCAGAGCTTCTCGCAACACAGTTGTAGGTCTGAGGGGCAAAGAGGTTGCCACCCTAATGCGTGTTTCTTTTTACGCAGCGCTAAGAAGAAGAAAATGGCTGACAAAATTCTCCCTCAGAGGGTGAGTGTGACGCGTGCGCGCAGTCTCCAAGCTCTGAGCTGTTTGAGCGGCGTGTTTGACTGGCTTGTGCTTTGCTGCAGATTCGTGAGCTGGTACCCGAATCTCAGGCCTACATGGATCTGCTGGCATTTGAAAGGAAACTGGACCAGACGATCATGAGGAAACGGTTGGATATCCAGGAGGCCTTGAAACGACCCATTAAGGTAGAGGAGGAGAACGGCCAGAGCGGCTTACACCCTTTGTCTTGCCCAGACGTGGGATTAGTTTACATGGCAGCGTGCTGGGGAGGTGAAAGGCAGAGGGAAAGCGTCTTGGCTGCGGGCATGGCATGGACGGGGTTATTGGCATTTAGCGTTTAGGGTTTTGCCATTAATGTTTTGCTGATACCTTCTTAGCAAAAACGAAAGCTTCGCATCTTCATTTCCAACACTTTCAATCCGGCCAAGTCGGATGCAGAGGATGGTGAGGGGACTGTTGCCTCGTGGGAGCTCAGGGTGGAAGGACGTCTGCTAGAGGATGTGAGTGCGAGAGCTGCAGCTCCTTTTGGGAGGCCAAGGGAGGTGCATCAGTGTTCGGATAATGTGGGTTGAGTGGGCATAAGATGGGAGTCCCTTGCTAGTGGGTTGTGATTTAAAAGGTTTGGACTTGCAAGGGCCGACCAGCTCTTTAGAGGTTGAGGCTGTAACTAGGGGCCTCCTTGGTGTTCAGTAAGAATGAAACAGAAATCTGTTGGGGGAGGGTAAGGGTAAGAGAGCCATGCCTGGTTCTCCAGCCTGTGGATAGGGATGTTTCTAAGGCAGATTTATGGGGAAAGGGATAAAACGCACAGTAAAGAGGCAGGTGTTCTGTGGTGTTCAGGTCATCATCTTCATCAGCCCTGTTATGTATGCTCTATGGCTGGGGTGGGCAGCCATGACACTCTTCCTCTTCTGTACTGCTGCAGTCAGCTCTGTCCAAATATGATGCCACCAAACAGAAAAGGAAGTTTTCATCCTTCTTTAAGTCTCTGGTCATCGAGCTGGATAAAGACCTGTATGGCCCAGACAATCACTTGGTGGAGGTGAGCTGTCCTTCTTACTGTCCCTGAGGGAGGGCTGCAGTGTTGGCAGCGGGGAGGTGTGTGTCTTGTTCCTGGGAGATGTGGTTTTGTCTAGGGGCTGGCACAGAGGGGTGAGCCAGGAACTCGAGAGGTTGATCCTAACTGTGGTGCCGGTTTGTTGCGAGTTTGGGACATGTTGTTAACATTTGTGAAATGGGAAGGATGCCGAGTTAAATCTTGAGTGGGGGCTGGAGCCTGTTGCAGAAGAGAATGAATTTTTTAGGTCTGCAGCTTTCATAGTTTATGAATCTCTTTAAATCTTGAGATGAAAGGTAGCTCCTCTTTGAACTACAAATCATTATTAGAATATCAGAGTGCCTCTGGAGCGTGAGAAGTGTCGAACTACAAAGCATGATGCTGCGGGATCATGGAGCACTTGCGTGGCAGTCGTGTATGTGTGTTCTCCGTTCTAGCCGCCTGGCTCCGCAGCCTCAGATCTGTAACAGTGCAGGCAGTGGATGAAGTCTGTTGTCCATACGAGTAGCTGTTGCATAACACAGCATAAGTGCCTGTCCTCCATTTCTCCATACTCGGAGTAAGGCTGATAACTTGGGGAAGGCAGCAGAGTATGTCCTGCCCTGCTGTCACCACTGAGGGTCTTGGTCCTGAGGGATTTCTGTGCACAGTTTACCTCTGAACACAGGGCTGGAAGGGCTCCTTGCCATCGTGTCCACTCTCCTGCTGTGTTGGGCACAAGGTTGTATCACGTTCCATCTTACAGCCATTAGTCTTGTTTGCCTCCTCTGCTCCCGGTGGAAGGCTGTTCCAAACCAATTGATTGTTCTGACACTTTACAGCTTTCTCAATTCCTGTCTACGTTTATTCATGGCCAGTTTATGCCCATTTGTTCTTAGGTTAAATAGCCTTTTTGTCTCCTGCTGCATTTGTAGCCATCATATTTCCACTTAGCATTTGTTTTGCAAGAGCAAACAAGCCAAGCTCTTTCAGTCCCCGTCTTGGAAGACAGGCTGAGCAAATTGGTTATCTGTTTGCTTTTCTGGTGGACTTTCTAAGCCCCAAGGCTCGGGTTTTGTGCTCCTTTCAGAAGGAATGTCGGCGTGGTCTTGGTGCTCTCTGGCCAAATGCAGTGCACGTGGCAGAGATCGCCCAAAGTCAGACGGACAAGATCTGTGTGGGGAGGGACCTTGGTCATCTGTAAATGGCAGTGTATAGAAAGGCATTCTGTTGGGCAGGCAGTGGGGGCAAAGGCAGTCGCCTGGCAGTGTATGTCCGTAAGTCAAGCTGTCTCCCTGGTTTGCTCATTGCAGTGGCACAGGACTGCTACTACCCAGGAGACGGATGGCTTCCAGGTGAAGAGGCCCGGTGATGTGAATGTGCGCTGCACTGTCCTCCTGATGCTGGACTACCAGGTAGGCAGGCTGACACGATGCAGCTCAGGGCCAGGGGAGAGCCCTCATCTTCTCATCTCTGTCATGCTTTTGTCTCAGCCTCCACAGTTCAAGCTGGACCCCCGCCTGGCCCGTCTCTTGGGGATACACACCCAGACCCGCCCGGTGATCATTCAGGCACTGTGGCAGTATATCAAGACCCACAAACTGCAGGACCCCCATGAACGGGAGTATGTCATCTGTGACAAGTACCTCCAGCAGGTAAAAGTGCCCCATGGCTGGGGCAGGGAGCCTGGGGAAGTTCATGCCTTTGGCTCCTGCAGTTCTCCAAGCTGCATATTTCCCACCTCCAGCTTTCTCTCTGTTGCAGATATTTGAGTCTCAACGAATGAAGTTCTCAGAGATCCCCCAAAGGCTGCATGCTTTGCTCATGCCTCCAGAGCCAATTATCATTAACCATGTGATCAGGTGAGACTGGCTCTACCTGGGGCAGTGTTTCTGGACAGAAGGGAGGATGCATAAAATTGTATGGGGGAAATGTCTGTTGTTGTGGCTTAATTCCCAGTACCAGCTTCTTTTTGTGCACCTGTTCATGTTTCATTAACTCTACCAAGTGTTCAGGGAGCGGCTGTTTTTTCCCAGTTCACAAGGTTCTGTACTCGGGCTGCAAGTCTCTTCCGAAAAACTTCCTCTCATGCAGCCTTCCCTTACACTGTGCCCCGGGAGTGCCCCCAGAATTATGCATCATCTCTGAACAACTATACTCGGAGCAAGCACCCAGTCCCCAGTGCTGCAAAGCAACCTATGCATTTCTGGAGCTGGAACTGTTTTCGGTGCATCAGTTGATGTTTTTCTTCGGATGCAATAAGCCAGCACAGTGCAAACGCCAGCCCTAGTTGTCCCTACCTGTACACCTGGAGGGTGGAAGCCACATGCTGTAATAAAATGCTGCTCTCAGCTTCTCACTTGTTCTGGTTCTCTCTGTGTTGTCCCCAGTGTTGACCCAAATGACCAGAAGAAAACAGCCTGCTATGACATTGATGTGGAAGTGGACGATACCCTGAAAACCCAGATGAATTCCTTCCTGCTGTCCACAGCCAGTCAACAGGAGATCGCTGCTCTGGATAACAAGGTACAGCTGGATTCTGTGCCTCTGTCTTTCTCCACTGTGGGTGGAAACGCAGACACTGGGTGTCACAAGAGACTCTCCTTGTAGCTTTCAAAATGGGTTTGTCCTCGCAGCTTTATAGTTGTTGGTGTCTGGAAGAGGGCACCACCGTTTCTACAGCTTGAATCAGATGGTGACACTGGCTTTACTGAGAAAATAAGTTCGGAAACAAGTGGTCAGAGGGGAATTGGTTCAGTCCTTAGAGCAGCAGGGGGCTGGGAGTCATGTTCTGGGTCCTTCTTGCAGCTTTTCTACTTGAGATCTCAAGCATGTCACTTCATTGCCATGTGCCTTGGTTTAAACCATGGCAGAATCTGTAGCTACCTTCTGGAGGTTGTCAGGCTTACTGGTAGTATTAGCCCCAAGGAAATGTTGGATGCTGCATCAGAGTAAAGTTTTACAGATATTCTGAATCTGCATCGTAGGGTGTTACTGCGCCCTGTTAATACAGGGAGGGTGGTTGGGGCAACTGGACGAGTTTGTATCAACCAGGGGGTGCGGTAATTTTCATTTTGACATACTGGCCCCCTTAGTGCTTCTCTCTCTTTTGGGTCAGCTGTGCTCCCTGGTTTAACAATATCCCATTGCTATACTTCTCTCTTAGATCCATGAAACAATAGAAACCATTAACCAGCTGAAGACCCAGCGGGAGTTCATGCTCAGCTTTGCCCGGGACCCCCAAGGCTTCATCAATGACTGGCTTCAGTCACAATGCCGGGATCTAAAGGTAAAAACCGTTTTTCCTCTTGTATGGAAGTCAAATAAAGACTTCTCTGGCTGCCTGTGTGTGGAAGTACAGCTGTACAGTTTGCAGCTCTGCAATCAAGGCTAGAATTGGGATGGAGTAGGAGGTTTTAAACCTGATGGTGTTGG